GAAGGTACATCTTTTCACCAAAGGGCATAGGCATGTCTTTTCAATGAAGGATATGAGTGTTCATGGGTGCAATTGCCAAGATCTTGGCCTTGAAGGCATGGGCATGTCTTTTCAACGAAGGATATGGGTGTTCATGGGTCCAATTGCCAAGAACTTGGCCTTGATCGATGCTTAATATAATTCTACAACTTCTTGTAGAACGATGTGGCTTAACATGATGTTGCATTAGGACTTAGGAGCCAGTTTTAGAGAATAAAGAGGAACTATACTTATATCTTTAGTTAATAGTGATGTAATAAAAAACAAGAGGATTATCCACCCAAATGCAATAATGAGCTTCTTGCAAATAACAACAACAACGTCTTTCAATCCCAAACAAGTTGAGATAGGCTAGATCCCCTAAAAAAAGTAGGGATTGGCTAGAGTTGAAACTCATAAGATCTCGAACCCTAGTTATGATAGTTATGATTCTAGCACGTGGATAGCTAACTTTCACGTAACCTTGTCCATGGCTAGTTCTTTGATGATATTCGATCTTTCGAGTCTTTATTAAGGGACTCCTCACATGTCAAGTTTGGTCTATACTAACCTCTTGACATTATCGACACACTTTATCCTTCCGCTATGCATTGATGCTTCTGGAGGCCCACGTTGTATATACCCAAACCATCTTAAAGAATATTGAACATGCTTCTCTTCAATTGGTACTACCCAACTCTATCGCATATATCAACATTTCAGACCTGATATTTTCTTGTGTGGTCACCCATCCATCTCAGCATGCGGATATTTGCTACACCTAACAGTTGGACATGTCACCTTTTAGTTGGCCAGCATAATATCCCAGGTCGAATCGATGTCCTATAGAATATGTCTTTTAGCTTTTGTGAAATTCTCATGTCACATAGGACACACGAAGCTTGGCGACACTTTGTCATTCATCTGACTTTGATTACATGGCTCACATGTTCATCGGCGTCACCATTCTTGTGCAGCATTGAACAAAATATCGAAAGGTGTCTTTTTAGGTACCGCCTACCCATCAAGGATGATCTCCTCCTCCTCGTGCCTAATAGTACCGAAAATGTACCTCATGTACTCGGTTTATGTTCTAGTAAGCCTAAAATCTTTCGATTCTAATGACTGTCTCCGCAACTCTAAATTTCTATATTAACCCTTTTCCTACTATAGTTGATTAGCGCCACATCATCTGCAAAGAGCATACACCATGGGGTATCTCTTTGTATATCCCTTGTGACATCATCCATTAGCAAAGCAAAAAAGATAAGGGCTCAAAGTTGACCCTTGGTGCATGCCTATTTAATTGGAAAGTCATTAGTATCGCCATCACTTGTCTGAACACTTGTCACTATATTATGATACATGTCCTTGACGAGGTTAATGTACTTTGTTGGGACTGTGTATTTCTCTGAGTCCTACCACATGATATTATGTGATATCTTATCATAGGCCTTCTCCAAGGCAATGAACATCATATGCATGTCCTTCCTTTGATCCTTGTGACTCTCCATAAGTTGTCGTACCAAGTAAATATTTTTCATGGTCGACCTCCCACGAATGAAATCAAATTGATTTTTTGGTCATGCTTGTCATTTTTCTTAAGTGGTATTTAGTGACTCTTTCCCATAGCTTCACTGTATGGTTCATCAGATTAATTCGGTAGTAAATAGTACAAATTTAACCATTCCCCTTATTCTTGGGAGCCTGAGCTGCCCCCTCCCCCTCCCTTGAGCTTCCACTACTTGTTCTAGCAACTTCATCGAGAAGCGAAAGTCCGCCACCACAAGGTTATGTTGAGGGATGGCACTCTCTTCAGGTATCACCTTACAATCTACGCAAGCACACATGTCTTCTTTTCTCGAGAGGACAAAATCAATCAGGTTAGAGTGTTGACCACTACTAAAAATCACTAGTTAGGATTCTCTCTTTTTAAAGAGGGTGTTAACTACGATCATGTTGTAGGGTAAATCAAAGCTCAAGGCGTCATCTCCTTCTTTTTGACAGTCATTTCCTCTTTTATTCGATCATAAGGAACGTAGCATCGTTTACAATAAGAGGAATAACCGCATCTAGAGTAGTGTCCATCCAGAGATTTGGATGAGAGGATCTAGTTATCCTAGCTAGTTCATGGGCTACTTGATTTCTTTCTCTATTATTACAATGATAATAGATGACATGAGTAAGGTCAAGCAACATAATAAGACAGTCATCAAAGATAGCAAAAGCTACTGAAAAAAGAATAATCATCGATTAGAGCACTAACAACCTCTGCATACCAGAGTTAGACCTCTATCTTAATGTATCCAATTACGTGCAAGGTTCATTCCAACCTCACTGCAACTGCCTCTGCTGTGAATGAGTCAAAGCAACTACCAATCTTTTCATTGACGGTTGTAATGAACTTTCCATGATGACTGCTCCAACCGTCCCCCGGAGGGTGTCCACATCAAAACCCGCATCCTGTTTAATTCAACCTAGCCATGTCTTGGTCTCAACCAAGCATCCTATCACACTTTGGCCCTCTCGTTGTATGAAATTAATATGCCGGTGAGAAGTTTTAGCAGCGTTCTCTCCTTGGTTCATGCTGGCATAATCAAAGCCCTATGCACCCCTTCAAAACCTATGATAGACATTCCCCACGTGGTCATTGAGGTCTGCTCCCTTCACAATCTATGATAGACATACCCACGTGGCCATTGATGTCTCCTATGAAGGGCTTCTCGCCAATAGGTACACTGCCGATTTGCCAAAACTCCAAAGCAAGCAAGCAAGGATCTCATGTAAACATTTCCATGCAATTTTTTCTTTTGATTTTTTCCTGTAGGGGACATTGGTTAATGGTATTAGTTCCCGCTCCATGTGATGTCACTTACTCCTTCAACATGTATAAGCAGTTTCTCGTCCCAGATGAACATCCATTACAAATTTATCCCCCACAAAAAAATATCTATCACAAATTTATGACAAAAGCCGGATTGTGATGGAGGGTGCGTCGTACTACATCTATGACAACATATTTCTTGGGTTTTTTTTCTAGAGTTCAAACAAAGAAGGGAGAGGAAAGCGGTACAGACTCAAATGGCAGGTTGAAAAAAAATGGCTGGATTCAACCATCAACTGCCCAGTTTCCTCAACAATGAAAATTTCTTGTGACTGTCAGATTCTCATTTCTTGTAGTTATACCTGACCAACCTACGCACTCGTAACGGTCAGCTACAAAACCGCGAATCCGCAGCAGGTTTTGGATCATGGCCCGGCTCACCTGTTGGGGACACGCTAGGACTTGTCTCAGTGGCTTCGCTTAAGAAGTCATGAACATCAGGCATACATCAACCTCCAAGAGATAGGTGGCTTGAGCATGTTGTCATTCAGCAGGATCAAACTCGCGGAACCCTTGCTTAAAATCATCCACCATCTTAACTTCTTCTTCCTTGGAAAGCTTACAGTTCCTCCAGTCTGCACGGTCTGCCATGCTTAACAATCCCGCCAATACCTGTCACCAGTACAAGTAAAGACTCAGCTGCAGCTGTAGGATCGCACTCGTGTATTGGTCAAACATCAATTTCAGGCATTGCCTTGTAAGCGAGTTGTGCATTGAGATTAACCAAGTAAGTTACTGAAGTATGTCTTGAGATTGACAAAGTTAGGTTGCTGAGGTATCAGGTTAGCATTTGAAACTAAAAAATGGATCAATGATCATCTCTGACATACCTCACGTCCAAACTGGGCAGGGAACTTCTCACCACTGTCAATTATATGCAAGAGTAGTGTGCCATCCGGGAGCTCTACATAAAACAAGCCCGATTTGCCGTCATACTGCGACCTTAACAGTTCTCTACCTTGGTTAGCATCACCATCTGTCATAAGCCAAAACAAAAAGGAGCTTAGCAATAGGATACATGCACAAATATTTTATGTAAAAAAAAAAGGATATACAGCTATAGTTTACTTGTGATCAGAGTTAAACCATTTAATCGATAGAACAAGCTGAAAAGGCTATTTGCACAGGACAATGATTTGCAATCCATTAATTTCAGTTATCTAATCCCCCATATGACTCACAAAATAACATAAGAACATGACTTGACATGAGACCAAGATCAACCTATGTTTACAATTCGAAGGCTTTCTGAAAGTAGCAGTATCATATGTAGAAGTAATATTGGCATCACAATAGGAAAATGCCGCCCAATAGGATAATTGGTGGAAAGATCAATATGTTTCTGGAAGTTTCTTAAACTGGAAATAATGACAAGTAGGTAACCAGAACAATGCATGTATCCTGCTGCATGGATTGAAAGAATGTGCTTATGTTTGTGTCTTTCCTTTACATTAAGTCGGGCCATATAAAAAAAATTACATAATTGCGCACCTGGATTCACAACAGAAAATTCAAATCCCAATCGTTGGGCTGCTAGGTGAAAGATCTTCTTAACATTAGCTGCCTTTGACAATGGTACGGGGACAGCCTTCACAAAGAAATTTGGTGGATTAATATCCACTGTAACAAAAAATGAAATGCATGGAACAAATCATACTACAGAGGTATCCTTACCTGAAGGTTTGCATGGCGAGACTGCTGTGAAACCCACTCAAAGTATACTGCTGCTTTTCCTCGTTTCTCAAAATACTTGCCCAGTGAATCCTTATATCTCCTGAGCTCTGCCTCAGGTTCCACAGGCATCGCTATTGTAGTAGGGAAGTGTTCAACCGGTATCACCAGAACATGGTCCGGAACAAGTGGTCCCTTTGCAAGCGCACAGTAGTAACCATCACCGATACTAATAACAAGATGTGACTCGACATCTGGACTTGACAAACAGAACCAGCAACTGCTCTCAACACGTCGTCGTTCACTACAGTTAACAAAATTATAGGATGAGTACCCCAACTGATTACTGAATGCATGAGAGAGAGAGAGAGAGAGAGAGAGAGAGAGAGAGAGAGAGAGATAGATAGATAGATTTGGACAACTCCTCTCACCTACGGGGTTTTGCATCCATTGCAGCAGCCTCTTCAGTAAGGCTATGAGCATACCTGCATTCAGGGCCCCTCTCACATTTTCCCTTGTTTAGAAAATCAAAACAGACATTTCTCTGACAGTGTTCCCTGGCTTCCTCATCATGCCTGAAGTTGCATTTACTCCCTCGAGGACAGGACCCTGAGGATGTATATTTGAAACACAATAGACTTCCATCAGTTTGCCCTTGTCGTTGCCGCTTGACATCATAACGCCAATATTGCAAATCAGTGCTTTCAGCAGGACGCTTTGGAGTGTCTTCAACATGAACAGATTTTGCTGGAGCAGCATATGGTGATAAAGTAGCATTTGGAGGTCTCGCATGAATATCAGCACTGGACATGGAAGATGCTGGAGTAGGAGAAATCGCATGAATAAATTTCTGAAAAGTATATGCAATAAGGAGTAGCCAATTAATGACTTGACAGTTAAACAGATTATCAATGCAGCAGCAGAATTACACTGGAAAAATATATTATAACAGAAGATTTACATAACTGAAATTAACAGCAGCACAAGATATATGTGAACAAATGGATCTTATTTTTGAAACTGAATGACAGGAGGAAAATTCTTAAACCGTGAAAGCAATAAAGGACAGAATGTAATGGCATAACAGAAGTATACACATAAAAGTATTTTAGGACAAGTTGACTTTGTTAAGTGCAAGTATACCTGCTTCTCTTTGTTTCCCACATTAGCAAGTCCAATAAAACGGGTAACATGGGGAGAGGAATCATTCACATAAGGTTCCCTTGCATAAAATATACCTTTAGTACCTGCAATGTGATATCTGCAAGAAACAAATCATGTCACATATTTTGCGAATTTGGCACACTTCTGTTTTCTGGTTTACAATAAAAAAGTTGGAAAAGCTAGGATGGTATCATAGAAATCTCAGTGTATGATATCAACGTTTACAAAAATTCAAATTAGTGCTTCAAGGAGAAGCTAGTCTCAACAATTAAGCTACTATATGAGTCTAGAAACCAAACCTTGGCTTAATCTCGGCAACCAATTCGGCAACAACAGGATCATACCCCTGAGGATCCAAGACCTGAGGAGGCACCTTAGAAGTATCAGCGCCATCCACCACTCCAGCTGGCCATTCATTAGTGCATCTCATAATCGTCAAGGGAACCAATTATGCATGATTGATGCTTTCAAAATTGACAATAAAAATATTCTTGGTATTAACACTAATAGATATTAAAAAGAATGTTAAAATGGAACAAAGGATATGTCAAGAACAAATCAACAATTCCTGGCTCTTCGGCAAGAGCCCGCAGGGCATCAACGTCATCTTGGCTGTAGCAGCCAGGCCCTCCTAACCCTTTCCTTCCGGACAAGTAAGCCACCGATAAACCTACAAACAGAAGGGGAAACCAATCAATGGCAATTAAAACAAGCATGCCATACAAATGATCTCATATGCTCATTGTCAGGTAAATTAGCTCACATTGTCACATGAAATGGTTTATCAGCTGCAAATATGTAGCAAATGAACAGGACTCTTGGTAAAGTAATCTATTGACAGATCGGTTAAACAAACAAATGAGGGAGGGAGAGACCGTGGAGGTTGAAGAGGGCGCTGCCCCTGAGCCAGAATAGGTTGGGGCATATCTCGATGCCGCCGGGGTTGAATCCTCGGGCGTCAGCAGCGGCCTTCGAGAGGAGGCGAGGCGCAGTGGGGCCGTAGTCACCGGTGAAGTAGGTCGGGATGGGCACGGCGGCCCGTCCCTCCAGATAGTCCGCGACGTCCCCCGGCGGGCTGTCCCCCTCGGCGGCCTCGGGCGGGAAGAACTGCCCCACACAGAGCAGCGCATGGAACGGCCCCGTCGACTGGTTCACCTGGGGCGCACAGATACACGAATGAGAAGACGAAACCAGCTAGAATGCGAGGTTAGAGAGCGGAGGATACCGATTTGACGCGCTTGAAGAGCTGATGTAGGCGGCCGTGGGCGTCGCCGGAGAGGAGGATCCGCGGCGGCGCCGGTGACGGGGCGGCGGCCATGAGGGGTTTGAGCAGGTTTTTCCTTGCACCGGAGGGGGAGGAAAGAGACTTCTCGATCTGTGGCCACTTCGGGCTAGGCCCGTTACGGTTCAGCTCATCTCCCCGTGTGGCCTGGCCCGTTACGGCTAGGCTCCAATTGTGATTTGACTTCTGGAAATTCACCATTTCGACTTGGTAATTTCCTTTTCCTTCAAAACCAAGGCAAAACATTTACCAAGATCATCTGCTACTTGTGAGCTGCGTTGAAATTTCTTGGAAAATGAAGGGATAATGCAGTACAGTAGAGATAAGTATTCCCCTCAGTTATTAAAACAAGGTTATCAATCCAGTAAGAGAATCAAGCAACACAAAGTAAACAACACATGCACGCAAACAACAAATACTCGCAACCCAACGTGTAAAGGGTTGTTAATACCTCAACGGTATTGAGATAGATTAAATTGTATAGCATTTGATAAATAAATCTAACTAAAACACAAAATAAAATAAGTAAATAAAAATTGCAACAAGGTATTTTTGGTTTTAATATATGATAGAAAATAGATCCCGGGGCATAGTTTTCACTGGAGGCTTCTCTCGAGAAAATAGTATACGGTGGGTAAATAAATTATTGTTGGGCAATTGATAAAAAAAATTATGACGATACCCAAGGCAATGATCATGTATATAGGCATCACGTCCAAAATTAGTAGACCGAAATGATTCTGCATCTACTACTATTACTCCACACATCGACCGCTATCCAGTATTCATCTAGCGTATTAAGTTCATGGAAAAACAGAGTAGTGCATTAAGAAAGATGACATGATGTAGACAAGATAAACTCATGTATGAATAAACTTCGTCTTATTACCCTTAACTAGCAAAAGAGTTCGTGCGTTGCAATGGGAGGGAGAACATAACACACACTCTTAACTCAACAATCATCACTCAAGACCACAGTAGGTCCATCTCCTTTATTTTTGCGAGGCATCGTATTTATGTTGCCGCTTATCCTCCTTCTCACCCTCGCTGGCGATGACCTCGGTGTTCACACAAAATAACAAAAAATGTGTGTTGAATATGGTTAATCCTAAGGCGTCTCTCTCTCCCTCTCTCCTCCCTCTCCCTCTCTCTCTCCCTCTCTCTCTCTCTCTCGCTCGCTTTCTCTCACTCTCGCGATGAGAAATCTGTTGTTTTCCCTTGCGACATTTTTCAGAGGTATGCACGTGTAGTTATCGATGTTTTCTTTTTCGTATATGGTTATAGTGGGGTATTTATTTGCAATCCGGATCGCCGCCGGTATGAAAAAAACGAATTTTGCGCTATAAATTATAAGTTTGCTTCCATAACAATATTTTAAAACAATTTAACAGGTAAAACTAACATCATATTTAGATTCCACACATTTTTCTAATAAAAATTTATATATAATATGTTAAAATTGAAGTTACGGTTTAGAAGATACAGGTAATTTAGAAAATCATTTGATTTGACTCAAATATATTCCAAAATAATATTTAAAAATACTTAACAGGTAAAAATAATCTCATATTCATATTCTACATATTTTTCTAATCAAATTTCATATATAACATGTTCAAATCGGAGTTACGGTTTAAAAGATATGGATGATTTCAAAAAGCATTTGTTTGACTTAAATATGATCCGCGGATGAATTACCTAAAACATCAGGGGGGTTTGAAAAATGTAAAATAATGGTTCGGGTGTGACTTAAATCCGGATGGCGGGTTGATTTCAAGAAAAGACAGGGACTTTTGTGTAAAATATGAAAATAACGCTTCGTAACTTAAAACAGAACTGTGGGTTGAATTCTCTGAAATAGAGGGACTTTTCTGAAAAAATGCCATGACGGACGAAAGAAACCCAATTTGCTTTATTATTAGGTAAAGATAGCAACGTTTCATGCGTGGCATGTCTCTCTCCGTCACTGAGATTGAGCACCGCACGATTGAACCCATCACAAAACACCACTTCCCATGGCAAAATAAATCGATCTAGTTGGCCAAACCAAACCAATAAATCAAAGAAGAAATACGAGGTTGTAACAATCATGCATAAAAGAGTCCAGAGAAAAATCAAATAATATTCATGGATAGATCCGATCATAAACTCACAATTCATTGGATCCCAACAAACACATCGCAAAAAAGAGTTACATCAAATAGGTCTCCAAGAACATCGAGGAGAACATCGTATTGAAGATCAAAAAGGGAGAAGAAGCGATCTAGCTACTAACTACAGACCCGAGGTGTGTGATAAACTAATCACACATCATCGGACGGGTAGCAAGGATGATGAAGAACCCCTCCGTGATCATTGCCCCCTCCGGCAGGGTGCCGGAAAAGACCTCTAGATTGGATCTTGTGGTTCTGGAACTTGCGGCGGCGGAAAAAGTATTTCATTGACTCCGCTAGGATTTTGGGGATTTTAGAGTATTTATAGAGTTGGAGGTAGGTCAAGGCGGTGCCCGTGGGCTCCACTACCCACCAGGGCACGCCAAAGGCCCCTAGAGCGCCCTAGTGCCTAGTGGGCTCCACTAGCCTCTTTTCGTGGCCTCCAGAAGCTCCCAGTGTCTCTTCTGGCCAGAAAAGATCTCCAAAAAGTTTCGTGGCATTTGGACTTCGTTTGGTATTGATATTCTGTAAAGTAAAAAACAACAACTAGCACTGGGCACTAAGTTAATAGGTTAGTCCAAAGAATGATATAAAGTTGCTAGTAAATGTATATAAAACATCCAAAGTTGATAATATAATAGCATGGAACAATCAAAAATTATAAATATGGTGGAGACATATCAGCATCCCAAGCTTAATTCGTGCTCGTCCTCGAGTAGGTAAATGATAAAAACAGAATTTTTGATGTGGAATGCTGCCTATCATGTTCATCACATATTATTTTCTTTTGTAGCATGGACATTTTGGACTTTAAGTGATTCAAAAAAATAGTCTATAATTTGACATGAAGACATCAATACTCAAGCATATCAACAAGCAACCATGTGGTTCGAAATATCAAAATTAAAGAAAGCTATTGTAACACCCCGGTGTAATGATGCTACAGTAACCCCTGGGGTTAAGTTAATCTTTTTGCTAAACATGTGCCTGATCATTATTGTCTCATGTTCTTACACATTCCAGCTGAATTCAAATTCTAATTTTGTCTGAAATTCAAAATGCTCAGACATGAAAACAAAAATGTTCATCATGTGCAGAATATTCCACAACTAATATTGGTGGTGAACCAACATTTTTGCAAAAAGGTTTGAGTGGCCTAAGAAATAAATTAAATGCCTTTTTAATTTATGAAAATGGCAAACTATTTCTAAA